AGGAATGTGGAGTAAGTACTAACTTTAAATTAAAGCCCTCCACAGCACACAGTCCAGAGGTGGATCTCTACCAGCAAAAGAGGAGGATATTGATGGTTAGGTGACCCATCAGGCCAGGGTGAGCGAGGAGTTCTGCAGGTGGTGGCTCCACTCTGCTCTGCACCAAATGAACTAATACACAGCTGACGGGGCAGGAAGGCAGCTGCTCCACGAGAATCATGGTGTTCTGCAATTCCTGTACAGCCCTTGCTAATTATAGCAGTTTTCCCCCGGGTCTGTGGCCATGGCTGCGTTGCCCCTTGGTCTGGCTGGCTCCTTTTTTCTGGTTCATTCTGTCCGGGCTATTTTGGCTGCAGAAGGTCAATGCCAGCACTGTCAGGGCCAGTGGAAACGCGTTTGAAGGACAAAGGGAGATGGAGCATATGCCCTAGGACAAAGTAAAAAAAACTGTCCAGAGTGAATTAGTTTCCTTTTTGTTCTCCTCCTGTTAGTGAAAGGATTGGTCTTGGAAATGTCTCATTTTGTTTCATTTCTAAATAATGCTTTCTCTGTTGTTGGTGGGGTTTTTTATTTATGCTGGTTGCTGATCAGCATTTTTAGCTTCTTTTTTTTTTCATCAGGAAGAATATTAACCACTAAAGTGCAAAAATATGTATTTAGGAATCCCAGAAGAGAATATTTGTGACTCTTCCCTGGGTTTGTCTGGGCTGTTTTCCCTTGAGTTTGGCTTTTACTACTCCATCCCTGTATACTGTGGAGTTGACATTTGTTTATCTTCACAAAGAAGAAACCTATTACTACATGAAATACTACCAGTTGCAGCTTGCAGTCAGTGCAGCATGCAGGTAGTGTTGATAGAACCTACCCAGAGGAGGCAGACACTGGAGACTGTTTCGAGTAAATTCTCAGATGAAAAGGTTATAAAGAACATGAGACTAATCTGTTTGGAGGACAGATTCCAGTTAAGTTACAACACACGTGAATGACACCCATTCTCTTTTTTGGGGGAGAATGCATCTGAATTGACTAACTTCAGAATGAAGTCTCTTTGTGCAGCGCTGAGGCTTCTTGAAAGAGGCAGTGATGAAATCTCATTTCCATAGCTGGCTTGCTTTCTGTTTATGAGGTTATATGCCTACCTGCAGCTGGAAGAGTTCTATGCAAAAAAATGTTGACGCAAATCAATCAAATTAATGGTTTACATATTGCAGAAGAGAAGAAATTCAAAGGAAGTTGGTGTGCCTGCCTGACATACCTTTTTAGCTTAAACTAAATGATCATAAAAAACATACATTTCTATGTCTTAAAAAATGTAGAGTTGTGAGAGACAAAGCATAGGAGATGTCTGTAAATTAATGATTAATGTTATTTTTATCTTCATCTGGCCTTGGTTTGAGAGTTGGTGGCCAGATTCCTCCACTGTCATCTATTCGTTCCTCTCGTTGCTAGTCCGACATGCAGTTCCATCTACTCCTCTACAACTTCTGTTCACACTGATCTTGGCTTTCCCTTCCTTTTTCTTTCTTCTGTGGTTCCTTCTCTTGGCAGCCCATTTCTTTTTAACCTGGAGGTCCTCAATTTTTTAACTCCTTTCTGAATCGTTTTAAGAAGTTCTCTTTCTGTAACTGGTCTTCTCTGCTACCCAGTCTTGTCTAGATGTGGAAGTTTGTGGCCTCCTATTTTTCCCCAAAATGTCTAAAAATTCATAACTGCTAAAAAGGGAGAAGAATAGAGATGATCACCCTTGCATGCTTCACAATAAAAGACAGGAATTGCTGCTTCAGAATATGCTTTTCTATAAGCTCAGTGGACAGTTTGTCTCCCTCTCTTTGGACTGAAGAAAATACACAAGAATTCCTATTGTTTTTCATCTCATTTCTCAATTACTAGCAAAACAGCACACTTAAGATCAGCCCATTTACAGGTCAGGATGTGAACACTAATAAAAGGAAGCCTGTGTCATTCGATTGTGAGTTCTCAGCCTTACCTGTGAACTGAGTAAAGAAAACAAAGTTGTAATATAGGGTGTTGGGAAACAGGGTTAGAAGTGGGATAGAGAAATGTGAGATGCAATCTTACTCCCTGGCAAGGCAATAGAGCAGAGAGGAACTTTCAATATTGCCTCAGCATAATTCATAGAGTTTCTCTTTTGATATACAGATGTCTGTCAAGAAGACTGAACACAAAGGCTATTCGGAGTATACCCACTGAATAAGTCATCTCTGTTGTTCTGGAATCATTTGGAGAGTGGGATATCATCTGCTTAGTAACATTTTTTTAATAGCTCAGTAGACAAGCAGTTGATTTGATAAATATTTACAAATAAACCAAGTGAGCATTGTGCATTCACGTCAGTCAAATAGTGTTAAAATAATTTGATAGTCACAGAACTCCGCCATAGTGGCTGACAACAGGGAAGATTTTCGGCTGGAACTTGTGTGGGGGTAAATCTCCAACACAGGAGTTCCGTTCACTGGAGTTACAGCAGCAGGGCACTGCTCAGGCATTAGGTCTTACATGTTTGGTTTCAAGATAAAATTGGAAAAAAGCCAGCGACAACGAATGTAGATTTCCCAATAACTTGAAAAAGAATATAGTCATCTCTTCCAGGTTTATGGAAAAATGGTTGGCTTCTCTCAACTTAGCCAGGGTTTTTGTCTCATGTGGGCTTTGAAAATTCTTAAAAATTCCAAACAATGCCCATAAATACATTCAGCAAAAGCTGTTGAAATAGAACATTGAATGGGGATCGAGCACACTGCTGCTGTTGCACCGTGGTCTGAGCCCTGCTGAAGAGCTGCTGCTTGCACCACCGGCTCTGGAGGTAGCAGCCAGGTTTCTGCATCCAAATGAGCTGTCTCTGCATCAAACCACGCTGTCGGGTTGGGCTTCTTGTTTTGCACGTCTGTTCCTAAAAATATACGTTGTTTGTCAGGACGATGTCGAAAGGTGGTTCAGAGAGGCTGGCTGGCAATACAGTCCCAAGGACTGAGCGTAGAAACGGGGACGGCAGCAGAGCAAGGCAAAAACTCACAAACTATTAGAGAGGTCCTGCTCCCCTTCCCAGCCATCACAGTTTACTGCCTTTCCTGATGCTGACTACATCTCAGGGCACCTTTATTGCTGCTGGTCGCATCCATCCTTGAGGCAGCTGTAGCAGGCTTTGTCACCATGAAGAGTCACATCCCCTGTGCTGACACAGTCCCAACACCTCGTCTCCCTCCTTTGCTGCCATACCTCCCTGCACTGGCTACAGCCAACGTATTTTTTCCTTCTTGATGCGGGTGCCCCACTCACAAGACAACAGAGGTTGTGTATGAACTGCGTAATGCCTCACATAGCATTATACATGACTACATATATAGTATGTAATTATACATTATATATTATTTATAATATATGTAAGTATGCACAATATAATCATATACTATAAATACACATTTTGTAGCCACTATACAGTTCATATGCAGACAAACTGTGTATATTAATTAGATAAAATTACATATAGTATTTCTTAATTATGCTATAAAGGTGATCTTATCTAATTTTTAAATATTATATAATTAGATACAATAATATGTATTAATTAGACAAAAGTCATTACAGAATTGGCTTTAACATAAATACTGAGTTCTGTTAAGACCCAGTTTTCCCAAATGTCTGTGTTAGGTATCCACAGAGGATGGAAGCAGAGCTATAGGCTGTTTCATTGTCAAATTTCCGCATGCCATATGTAGAAATGGTGTGTGCCCATTCCAACGCTGGGTCCAGAAATCCAACATCTGCCGATTTCAGATACTGAAATGTATTCAGAACCAACAGCATATAAGTCCCCAGCACGACATCCACCCTGGCATGAAATGAAGCTGCTCTGCAAACACAGGGGTTTTTCCTTCAGCTAGTGTGTTTTTTACCTGCTCACGTTCTGCTCTGGTGTGATGGCAAAGCAGCCGGAGCGACGGCAGGACACTTCTAGGGCTGCTGGTGTGTTGCTTGCATTTTGCACCCTCTCTCACCCCACACCTATCTGACAGCATGCAAACGAGCAGCCAAATACTCTGTGGAACAAGGAAGCCCCAGCTGAAACCCATTGCTGTGATTTTATAAAGCTTCAGGGAGGAGGAATCAGAGGATCAGAGGCATTCCTCAGAGAGAGGAATCAACTGTGTTCCAGATTTCTTTCCTTTGCAAGGGGTGGAGAAATAGAAACAGGTGAGAGGGGCTGGGAATTTCAATAAATCCATTTCTGCTGGTGCTAAGCAGCTTCCTTCATGTGTTAGTATCTGGACACACTGCAAAGGCAGCACTAAGCACACCAGCACTCCAACGCTGCTAATCATGATAACACTTCATTTGGCGCAAGCTCAGTGTTCAGGTGTTTTTTGGAAAGAATTCAACAGCTGACTGAAAATATTGAGGAAAAATGAACTTAAAGAGGACTCTAGAGCAGCCTGGAAACCCGTTTGAACCACGCTGTTGTGACAGACTGCATCCTGTGTGTGTGCATGCTTGCATGAGAATTTACTAGTACATATAATGTTAATTACCCACTGATGTCCTGAAGCAAGGCTGGGAATGAATTTCAGGAAAAGAGATGTTTGTTTTGCGCGGGCGCCCACATCCCATATACTTTCAGTCCTGAGGAAATTGCCCCGTACCTCCACCCTGTGCACGCTTGTGCCTGTAGCTGTAGGCAGTAAGCGGGGAGAAGACACGGGGCTTACAGAGACCCGTGTATGCCCGTTCCTCTGCGTCCCCCAGCATGGAAAACCTGAGCAGCAGCAAGCCCAGGGTCTGTTCCCGGCTCCTGCCTCAGCTGAAGCCGTACAGCTGTTGCTTTAGCAGAGAAAGGGATTGGGTTTCACAGGCTGTGTAATCTGCGACAGCGCTCTTTGGCTTGGGGATAGCAACAAGCCTCACCCAGGCTCAGCCATCCCCTTTCTGCCCGTAGAGGAACGCCCCGGTCGACATAGAAGGAAAATTGTTTGCTGAATTTTTCTGCACAGCCCTCCTTCCAATTGCTGGAGAGAGAGGGGGAGTGAGAAAGAGAGAGAGTTTAAGGCAAGCACTGCACTGGTGTTCGGGGCTATTTCAACTTCAGGGCAACTTTAGAGAACTTCAGTTATTTTTGGTAAGTTTGGTTTTTTTTTTTAAAACAAACTCCTCTCTCTCTCTTTCTCTTTTTTTAATCTCTGATGCAGATTGCACAAGTTTGCAGTACGCGACAGGCTTTTAAAATTGCGAAGAAATGTGGGCGTGTGTGTTTTGCGTCCTTTGATACAGAAACTGGACATTCTGATTATAAAGACATAATGTTCCCAGCTGCTGTACTTGATAAGCGAAACCCGACGAAGCTGTGGGTTAAGCGATACCGCTGGGGAAAAGTATGGCCAGAACTTCAGCCAAGGTGCACCCCACCTGGCGTAAAGCTTTGTCTCTTGCTTGTGCGTGGGAAGAAGTGCAATCAAGGATGAATGAAAGTGTTCAGCCTGCTAAAAAGTTTCTGATCTGCCTTTTTAATGCAGAGGTTTCAAGCTTGTGCAGCACTAAGCCTCCCAAAGCTTTCAGAGCGATGTTAGTTCTCAGTCCTGTACACACCCCTCCATTCAGTAATCTCAATTCCAGATCATGCACGTTGTTTTTCTTATTTCCTCTGTCTGTATACTTCACCCGTCACACGATCTCAAAGATAGTGAACCTCTCTTTTGTAGTACAGAGTGCCACAGTCGCAGTTGTTGCAATGAATTGCAAGGTGCAAATTGCAATTTACTTATAGTGAAGTTGCTTTCTCTTGAAAATGAGTTTTCTGTTATTTGTTTTCCCCATAGACGTGCTTGGATTTTTATAGTATCTGTGCTTCTACGAGAGGAATTGTATTTGTGTGGATATTATGTCTCAATAAATACCATTTGCAATATATATATCGTAACATACTGACTTGGCAACAGGAGCTTTGTATGTTAGTGGTATTTGAGACTAAGATTAACCCTGCAGCATTTAAAAAACAGATCCATAACTTTGTCAGTGGAAGTGGGATCCTGTATGTGCTCGCTGCAAGGCTGCCGAGGCTACTTCACAAAGTGCTAGGAAATATGCTGGGTAAAATTCTTCTGTCCCGCTGTCTAGATGCTTTGCCCCATCCGTGTACCTTAATAAGTTTCTGACCACATGAATACAGGTGATAAGAAGTAGGATTTGTATCTGTAGCCACCTGTAGCCACATTGCTTACATGAGAGAAAACACCAAAAGTCCACCCCTCAACAACAAAATTAACTATTATTCTTTGTAATTTATGAAACATGAAACACAGAAAGTTGGAAGGTGACTCTTAAGAGATACAGTACTTAGCTTGTGTTCACCTGTTGCATGCACGAGGGAAAACTTCTAAGTATTGCCTTGCTATATCTCTTACTATAATAATGAAAAACTATAAGGAATTTTGCAGATCCAAGAAAATTAGAGGAAAAGCAGCTTACAACAGCCAATTTACTTGCAAAATCTATCCTAACATAAGTCAAAAGTACAGCAAGAAAAAGTTTCAGATATATAACAGCACAGGAAAACATAACGTCTCAGAATTTATTGGATTTTATTAACTCTGTTTAACAATGATAAGTGTGACTGGAACTTTTAATTGCAGTAACTCTATAACAATGGATTTAACAGTAACTCTTCAGCAGTAAACTGAAAACTGTAAATCTGCTCCAGGCACTCTGCAGTGCTGACATGTTCCATGATGGCTGTAGAACCATGTAGATTTGTTAGCTAAAACTGCATTTTACTATCTTTGGTGTGGCACTCTCGTAAAGTAAACTCTACTATTAGATTACGAGGCTTGTGTATATCTCCGACTGAAGTCAGTTTGACTCTAGTCAGTGCTCATAAGCAATCCGTCGAGGATGGCTGCCTTCCAACCTCCTCTCCAGTCGGTGTTAACGTCTTTTCAGTCGGATGGGGCAGCGGTAACTTCTAGCACTGATTTGCCAGGAGTTTGGAGATGGCATGTATTTTCTGCTTTTAATTGTCTTGGACGCTCAATCTGTATTCACAACTATGAGGTCAACGTGCCTCTATTCACTTTTGGCTGTACTCATCGCTAAAACAAAATCCAGCAGCCTGTAATACATGGTCAGGGGAACAGCTATGATCTGAGTTAACCTCCTCTTGGCTTCAGCGGGTTCAGCGCCCCACGCTCGATGTGAAGAGGCCATGCTGCTTGTCTGGGAAGCCATGCCACGAGCTTCACAGGCACTTCACTCAACGGTGTCAGTGTGAATGGAGAGAGTAGGATGCACAGCATTGGGATCTTACTGAAGTATTGTGTCTTCCATGAAGCCACAGGGATGTATATTCCCCTGGCTTGAACCCCCTATAGTTTCACAGAGTTTGAGCTTGGTTGTTTTCTACTAGGGCAAAGAAGTCAGTTCGTCCTATGCAAGCGTAAAATATTGAGGGATTTGAGTAAGATTTTTTCCAGGATTCCTGACATCAGGAGATTAAATAATCAAAATATAAGGCAGTATATTTGAAAGGTGTGAAAGTTGCTGGCTTACATTCTGAGTAAATATTTGAGTAAATAAATTCAACCTATTTTTTACATCTAGCTATTTTTTCATTCTATAGTGTCCCTTACATCAGGGAGCAGCAAAACGTGCACTGGATAAATGAGAGTTTCCACCTCTGGAAAAACATCTCACTCTGCTTCTGGGGTCCGTGTTGCAGGTTCAATCCAAATGAGTAAGGTTGCGAAAGGCCTCAACGTTAGCCCTGCAAGGAGGGGACCTGGCCCTCTGCAGCGGCACAAGCAGACAGAGCAAGAGTGAGCTTTTGCTTTCAGGCAGTTTGCCAAGTTCCTGAGCCCTAATTCACTAGAAAACTGTTTTCCTGACAACATCATCTAACAACTACTGCCTTTCCTGCTTCCCTTAGCTGTAACTTCCAATCTGCCTAGCAGGCTTTTCCCTCCAAAGCCGAGTGGTGGAGCGGCGCAGAGCAATGTAGGGGATGCAGCTTCTGACGGAGCTAAGGTTAAACCCTGTCAAGACGAGGTTGCCATCTCTCCACATGTGACAGAAATCAAGACAACACTCTTCTGGCAAGAAAGATCCTTCGGATGACCCCCAGCTGTGCATAGCCCTGCTGCAGGAGGGTTAGGGCTGCACCCAGGGAAACTTGATAAATCCATGTGCTTGCTCATCTCAATCTGGATTTTAAAGTCAAGGCTGGAATTCATTATTTTATGTTGTAAAACAAAGCTTCAGGCTAGGAGAGGACCTTTCACATACTAAATACTGCCTACCAACTTGTTTACTTCCTGAAAGGATGCTATAGGTAGCCAAATATCTGGAAGTAACAGCTGACTTATTGCAGAGAACAGGTCTACAGTTTTCCATCAGAGAAGGGGAACCCGTGGGTTCACCATCTAAATCTGACCAAATGTGTCATCCAGAGTGCCTGGAACAAGCCAGAATATGTTAAGGTTGTTATGGCATGTAATTAATAAATAATCCAAGGTAACTGATCGGTTACTGCTCCCATGGTATAGGGGCGGCAGCTCTGTGGGGAGCAGGTCCCAGGCCACGGTAACAGCCCAAATCCCAGCGAAATTCCACA